TCTATTAAAACTTCTATATAATTAACAAATTCTACATTATTTTTTTCACATTTAATAATATATATTTATGTAACAGTATAAAAATAGTCAAAAACAGAAGAATAAAGTTGAAACTGTTATAAAGTAACAAGTAAAATTATTTTATTTGACAAAAATGGGGTAAAACTTGCACGAACAAATGTTTAGGAGAAAAAACACGGTTTTTATATAAATATTATGAAAGTTTTTGTGTTGGCGTAGAGAGGAAATAATACACTTAATCCAGTCGATTTATTTCTATCTATTAAAACTTCTATATAATTAACAAATTCTACATTATTTTTTTCACATTTAATCATATATATTTATGTAACAGTATAAAAATAGTCAAAAACTGAAGAATAAAGTTGAAAATTTTATAAAGTAACAAGTAAAATTATTTTATTTGACAAAAATGGGGTAAAACTTGCATGAACAAATGTTTAGGAGAAAAACACGGTTTTTATATAAATATTATGAAAGTTTTTGTGTTGGCGTAGAGAGGAAACATGGATACATATGAAGCTTTTTAGAGATGAACTTTTCGGAAAGTTTCTTTCTCTTTTTTGTTGCTGGAATCGTGAGGGTATCGCTAAATGGAGGGCATTTGTCTTTAGCACTGAAGAAGTGTCCGGAACTAACTTTAAGGTTTCAATTGGTGTTGATTAATGCGAAAACAGTTTGATTCATCGCTTGGAGGCGGCGGCGGCGGTGGAAGCGGAGGCGGCGAGCCCGAAACAAAAGATAACATCATATCGCATTTATCTCGGCAACAATAAAATGAGGGGGTGGAATCCCCGCATAAATCAGCGGATAGTGTCCGAATAACATTAGCGCTATTTTAACTGGATAGTGTAGTTACATGGCTCGAGAGCAACGAAAGCAATGGGAACGAGAGGGTTGGATGGAGAGTATGTGCTGGATGGGATTCGTTCACTTTGATTCAATTCTAGGCTACGCAATCCAATTATAATTATTCGAAACTCCATAAATCCCTTTTATCTTGAATAGACGATGGCGGTAATCAATTTATTATTGTTAATTATTTGCGTGATCGGCATTGTCCTGAATACAAAAGAAAAATAGATTTAACAATTTGAGTGGAAACACGCATTGTTCCAGTTGATGAAGTTGGCTTTATAAATTTAGGGTCTTCAAAGTGTTAAAACGTTAATTTAAGAAGGAAGTACAAAAAAAAACATTAATTTACCAAAGAATTATGTTGAAAGGTTTATACTAAAATAGTGAACGATTAAAGCAGTAAAGTAACTTTTTGGGTCACGCTGTATATATAAATGATGAAAAGAAGGAAAGAAGTGCTAGGGTGAAATTCTGGGCAGGGCGCAAATAAATAAGGACGGTTTTCTCGGAGGGCTGTTTTGTCGTGGAATCTCCTAACCTAAGCGAATATGTAAATTCGGCCGCAAAATCAAATCCCCCCACGAGACTTCTTCTAAACACATTACGACCCGACCCTAATTACGACCCACGATAATATCAAACTGTTATCTTCCTTGGTACAAACGCACACGAACACTCATATAAATTTCTTTCCTCTCTTCTTGCGTGTTTCAGGTTACGGAAGTGTCGCCCCGAAGACGGGATTAGGAAAGGCCATGACGATGGGTTACGCAATTTTCGGGATTCCGTTGACGCTGCTCTATCTGTCGAGCGTCGGATCCATCCTCAGCCGAATAGCCAGAGGCGTGTTCTCCAGGGCTCTGTGCTGTTGCCTCTGCTCGAACTGCGGCTACTGCTGCTACGACGAGAAGAGGATGGCTGAAAAGGAGAGGAGGATGAAGAAGAAGCGTCAGCAGTTGGAGATGCAGCAGCAGCTGGCGTTGCAGGAACCGTTCTACGTGCGCTCCAATTCTGGCTTCAGCAACAGCGTGCATTCACCGGTGAAGGATATTGATAGCGTCAGCGGCACGGACAACGAGTCCAAGGCTTCGATGCACGGATTATCTATTTTAGCTCCGATCATTCTATGCTTGTGCATCATGTTCATATACATCTGCATCGGTACTTTCGCTCTCTACAAACTGGAGGGTTGGACTCTTTTGGATGGTTTCTACTTCTGCTTCATGAGTCTGACCACCATCGGCTTCGGGAACATGAATCCCGGTGGAGAAGCCTTCACCGGTTACGAGTCCAACACGACGATCTGGTTCTGCTCGCTTTACATCATGTCCGGAATGGCGCTGACCGCGATGTGCTTCAACGTCGTCCACGACGAGATCGTCCATAGGCTCAAGCACGAGGAGAAGATCATCCGCAAGGCCGCCTCCACGAGCTTCCCCGACGACCTCAACGCCGTCGACCCATTCAACTTGACCTCATGACAGTTCAACATGCAGAACAAACAATCCAACCTCTATCACAGGAACATGACCGAGGAGACGTTGCTCAGCACCGGCACCCCCACATCAGTCATCGACCTGGGACACGAGCTCGTCCCAGTCACGAGCTCCAAAATGCCGGAGGTCCTCGAAGGACCAGTTCTCACCGGCGTCTACACTCTACCAGAAGAACCAGAAAACGAAGAAAACACTGAAATGTAATTTTCATTAAATGCAAAAAAAAGAAAATAAGAAGGAAGAACTAAAACAATTAGAAGATGAAAGTTATTAAGAAGAAGGAGAACCCAAACACATCCCCATCTTTTTTATTAAGCAATTTAATAAGTTTTATACACGTTTAAAAAAAAAAATTTGGAATTACAATATCATTGTCTCGCGGCCAAGACGTAAAACCTAAACACGATACCAGCGAGTAGTCTGACCGTTCTCACTAGACTTTTTGTAAATATTATAAATATTATGGAAACATTATTTAATCTAATACCTAGGATGTTTAAGACATAGGAAACTATTGCTGTTTTCACACCCCCTTTTTAACTGTACAAAAATTTTATTATCAATTTCATCTAATCCGGATTCACCCCTTTTATTCTCAATGTACATACATATGCGAATCCGGCCGATGAAAGTCTAACTCTCATCCTCCCCTTGCCAGAAAAAAAAATAACGAAATCATATTTATACCGAAGAGATTTAACAACATCAGCTTAGATTAAACAAACGCATTAGAAGTTTCATAATTACATAATTAAATTAATATAATTGACCAATCAACTTTGATCTTTTTATCTAAAATATACAATTTACACCAATTGAACTCGACGACAAAAAAAATGACATTTATTGTTGATTTCATCATTTCCCTCCCCGCAGCGAATCCATCAACATCAGTGGAAGAGGGTTTTCTCTTTTTTAGATTACATTTATATCCTTTTATTTTTGGCGTTTCCCCATTCTGCAAAAAACCTTTTTTACATATCACGTCGGGGACATATTGCACGCAGTTTGATTCTCCATTGCCAAAAATTCGCGTTTGATAAACGACAGTGCGGGGTGGTTTTTGTTTTTTTTTGTTGTTGTTTTGTTGGTGGTTGCTGTCCGATTCGCGTTTGTTTTTCGGTTTAGAAGTCGTTAATTTTTCAGGCCAGGGGCTGATGAAAAATCAATAATATATCACTACTGCTCTCTCTCTCTCTTTCTATACTATAATACTAATCCGAAAGGTCACAGAAACATCCCTCAACGAAAGAAATATAAATTAATAAATAAAAGCGTATTAATGAAGGTAAAGAATCTTTTGGTGTTTTCTATTTCTGGAAGTCGCAGAGGGATGGAAAAATAAAATGTGAGGATATTTATGAAACTGATTTGTTTGGTTTTCGGCGACGTTTAATGGATTAAAGCGAACGAATCTTATGAAGTTATATATAACGTATATATCTTTAACATAGAATTATATAATGAGATGTATAAAAAAAAATGATAAATTTCTGTCAAACAGGAGATATATATATATTATAGAGAAAGTATATATACTATATATATATGAAAGTTACACTTAGTGTAATTGAAAATGTCATTTGTATAAACAATGGTGAATGAAATAAAGACTTCTATGAAATATGTAAAAACTTGTTTGTTTTTTTTTTCAATTTCCTTTTCTTGTTTAAAACAATGATTCCTAATAAAAATCTCGTTTATTAAACCAATAAGAAATAAAAAGTAAATTGTAAGCAAATTATTTCAACGTATATTTTTAAATTTTAACTAAATTTCATAAATCATACAAAGTCAATAATCTTAGTTAAGGGTCTAAATCGCAAGTCCAACAACCGAAACTATTGAAATCCCGACGCTTGAAATCCCGACTATGTCAAAATCCCGACTACCATAAAAATGTTAGTGTACAAATTTATAATAATAAAAGACATTGTCGGGATTTCAATATAGTCGGGATTTCGATATAGTCGGGATTTCGAACGTCGGGATTTTGAGCCAGCCGGGATTTCGAAAGTCGGGATTTCGATAGAGTTAATGCTTAAACATCAAATGAATTGAAGAACAGAACAGAAAAGAAGAAAATTATTTTTTTCACTTTGCATTATCCGTATCACAGATACAAATTATTATTTAGTGTAGTAGTTTTCTTATATTATATAATACAATAAAATAAGATTTAGAAGTGTATGAGTATTAACAAATCAAATTATATTTGAAGATGTTCAAATGTGGTAGTTTATTATAGGCAACCAAACTTACAACATTTTAAATCATAATTCTGGTTAAAATCTTTGCGTTTTAATGTAAAGGGTGTCCCAAGATTTGAATTTGCTGCCATTTATGCAAAGTGTTGGCAACCCCAAAAAAAAATCAATTTGACTAAAAACTGTTATTTAATTCAAATCTTGCGTTAATTTTGGGACACCTTTTATTTCTTGGTATATATTTTTTAATTACACATCATTATAATGACTATTTTAATCATCAATGTTAGTTTCAAAATAACTTTTTTATTGGTTTAGAAGCGTAAGACATTGAATGGAATATGTGAAATAATTTAATTTATATTAACAAATTTATAACATATTTAATGAAAATCCAATACATTGGTGGAAGCAACCGCATATGATAAAAATAAGACCGTAATTATTTCAAACATACAAATCATTTGTACTAAATCATTTCTATCTGGGAATTATGGTCAGTAGATCTTTGTAATAGTTTTCAATGAATGGAATAATCTAACATACAAAGATCTACTGACCATAATTCCCAGATAGAAATGATTTAGTACAACTTTAGAAATATTAGATTTATAAATGATTAATTATTATGTTGGGAAAACAAATTTAATTTAAATTTGTACCAATTTGAATATTTGTTGTACGCAACCAAACTTACATACTTTTCATACTGCAGATTTTTGTTTGCGTTTCATTATATAATTTTTTGAAGCTATTACTTTGAATTATTTAATATTTTATTAAGTATTTGAATAATTAACGCTGATTTTCGTAATATTTATGTGGGAAAGTAGACAATTTACTAAATAATGTAAATTTAAGCAAGATTGGAAGATTTTCGTATTTGATTTGAATATTTGTTGTACGCAACCAAACTTACACACTTTTGATTCTGCAGATTTTTGTTTGCGTTTCATTATATAATTTTTTGAAGCTATTACTTTGAATTATTTAATATTTTATTAAATATTTGAATAATTAACGCTGATTGTCGTAATATGTATGTGGGAAAGTAGACAATTTATTAAATAATGTAAATTTAAGCAAGATTGGAAGATTTTCGTATTTGATTTGAAATTTGGATGTTTGTTGTAGGCAACCAAACTTACATCATATTTAAATTTGATTTTACTTATGTTTCTTTAGGTGTTATTTAAGATGTAATATTAAATTAAAGATTGTTGTTTTAAATGTGTTGATTTTATGCTTTGTATGGTTTTAGGAGCGTAGACAATGGATGTAATTAATGTAATTTTGGAGACTATTGAAGGTGGTTGGAAAGTCCTTGTAATCCTTGTAGGGTAAGAGCGTTGTTTGTGATCAAGACGAAATCTAAATATAAGTTTCAGAGGCCATCCGGTTTTTCGAACGGTGTGCCAAAGAGGTATATCGTATTTTCGTTATTTCGGGCGAGTTGTGCGAAATGTCGATAGGTGTCTCCGAGGGTGGCGCGTGTGCAGTTCCCTGTAGCCAGGCACTAAACCGTTCCGGAAATAACATATGTTTGATGATATTCAATGTGGTGTAGATTTGCAAGAAGGACCGGCCATCTTTTTACAGTAACTTGTTTGTTTGGTGGATTTAGATCAAAATTTAATTTGTAATTAATGTCAGAACCACAGTCCGCACTTTTATTAAGGAAGCAACTAGCAGGTGAGTGCATCGCTTCACCGAAAAACGTCTCGCATTTTCCATGTCGTCGTCATAGTCTTTCTCATCCACCACGAACAAAAAAAAAAAAAAAACGAAAATAGTGTGTGAGTGCATCGAATCGTTTTTGGGGGCGCAAAAGCCGGGGGCCAGATGTCCCTGTCTCACACTAGGGGCGCTGCGCCCCCCGACTTTATCCGGCATCGGAAAAGTGCGATCGCAAAACAATGCATGGTCTAATTGGCCGAGTGGCGGCGCCCCCGGCGCGATTCTTCCCTCAGCATACCAAAAAAAAATAATCTTGGATCGTTGTTTTACAAATTTAACGTTTTATTCCATGCAATTCCCATGATTTTATCGTCCACCACGTTCGGGGACTCCTCTAGAACTTCGGACACGCATCGGGGGTTGAATTCGAGACGCGAAAATCAATATTCCCGCAGACTTTCCAATTCGTTTTGCAAGGACGACTTACTCATTCACGCGTTTTTTTTTTCCTTCCTCTCGTTAAATATATATGTATATAGCTACATGCACGCATAATCATCGCCCTTTTTTTTATTATTTCTTTCATCGACAATTCCTCCGCCCATGCAAATCGCTTCTTGCGAAACCTCCTCCAATTACCGTGCATCGACGAGGAAAAACGTGAGGTCGGATATTTAAAAAAGTAACCTCAAAATCCGCTCATCATCATTGATTGTCATTTAAGGATGTGCTCACGCACACGTTTTTTTTTCTCTTCATATACTACCTCGTTTTCAGCAAATCCAATATGAAACCTATGAAATAGCAAATTTGCACCTATCTGATTCAAGAATTTTGAAATTTCACAGAATTACTATTCAAATTTGCCACATTCTCAAGTTATCATTAACCAATAACTTAATTACACTGTGATTTCCACTTTTATATTATTAATCGCTGTTCTTTCTATGTTACAGAATTAAATAAGAACCCTGTTGAGGGTTTTTCTGCTGGGTTAATAGATGACAATGACATTTATAGATGGGAAGTACTTATTATTGGTCCACCCGACACTTTGTAGTAAGTATCCTTTCTCTATCATTTTAACAATCAAGTTTACATCTTTCATTAAAAGTAAAACTATTTTTAGATCACAAATCTATTATGTTTTAGTCATTAATTTATTAATATTCCAAATGATCTGTTTCAATCATTAAATATTTAATCTCTAGTTTGTATTAATAATAAAATTACTTCATCTTAAATTTCATGGAGTTTCAGTAGACTTGGAAATATTAATGATTGAAATAAATCATATGTATATAAAATTTATTTTTTTAACAATCAAGTTTACATCTTTCATTAAAAGTAAAACTATTTTTAGATTACTATTGACTATTATGTTTTAGTCATTAATTTATTAATATTCAAAATAATCTGTTTCAATCATTAAATATTTAATCTATAGTTTATATTAATAATAAAATTACTTCATCTTAAATTTCATGAAGTTTCAGTAGACTTGGAAATATTAATGATTGAAATAAATCATATGTATATAAAAATTGTTTATGTAATGCGAATTTTAGTGAAGGCAACGTTTTACAATTGAAATAAAAGTAAAATAAATGCAGCTAAAAGGGCGTGAAAAGCTGCAGCATGTTTTACATGCAATGGATCAATGATCGCTGCACTCAATTCTGCTCGTAGCACTCGTATCTATATTTATTACGAGTTTTCCATCATGAATGACCATCGACCAAATCGTTTAATTTTTTTTATATTTTTCGGTAATTTTAATATTTTAACAAATCGATTATTAACAAAAAAATATACAAAAGTTAATATTTATAAAACAATAATTTTAAGATTAAATTTGTTTTAGTATAATTAACTAAATTCTCATATTTATTGTAAAAAAATAAATAAATTAAACTTGTTAAAACTTTTTATGAAGTTGACGGATAGTATGGAATACTTCTCGAAGGAAATCGATGCTCACGTACCTGAAAATGTTTCATCAACTTTTTGATATTAATTATGTACGTGTTATTTCTCTATTTTCAGCGAAGGCGGGTTTTTCAAATGTCATCTTAATTTTCCGAAGGAATATCCTCTTAGGCCACCTAAAATGAAATTCGTAACAGAAATATGGCATCCTAATAGTAAGTTACAAACATCAGACAACAACATTATTTTATCATTCGTTTCTATATAAATCATTCGTTCAATTCAGGGCACATTCGCATAATAATCAGTACAAAATACAACAACAATATTCAATTATTCATATTCTAAATTTTACGATTTTACACGATTTTTACTATTAATTCACAACAAGTTTGTTCAATCATTTTTTTTTTAATTCTACGTTTTTAATTTGAGTATTTTACATGATTTTGTTTCTGAATTCACAGCAAGTTCTTTCAATCAATTATTTTATTATTCTATGTTTTGAATTTGAGTATTTTACAAGATTTTGACTATTTTATTATTCTATGTTCTGAATTTAAGTATTTTACATGATTTTATATCTGAATTCACAGCAAGTTCCTTCAATCAATTATTTTATTATTCCATGTTCTGAATTTGAGTAATTTACAAGATTTTGACTCTTAATTCACAACAAGTTTGTTCAATCAATTATTTTATGTTCTGAATTTGAGTATTTTACAAAATTTTGACTGTTAATTCCCAACAAGTTTCTTCAATCATTTATTTTATAAATCTACGTTTTTAATTTGAGTATTTTACATGATTTTGATTCTTAATTCATAGTAAGTTCTTTCAATCAATTATTTTATTATTCTATTTTTTTAAATTTAAGTATTTTACAAGATTTTGACTCTTAATTCACAACAAGTTTGTTCAATCAATTTTTCTATTATTCTACGTTTTTAATTTGAGTATTTTACATGATTTCATTTCTGAATTCACAGCAAGTTCTTTCAATCAATTATTTTATTATTCTATGTTCTTAATTTGAGTATTTTACAAGATTTTGACTCTTAATTCACAACAAGTTTCTTCAATCAATTATTTTATAATTCTACGTTTTTAATTTGAGTATTTTACATGATTTTGATTCTTAATTCACAACAAGTTTTTTCAATCAATTATTTTATAATTTTACGTTTTTAATTTGAGTATTTTACATAATTTTGATTCTTAATTCATAGTAAGTTAGTTCAATCAATTTTTAATTTAAGTATTTTACAAGATTTTGACTCTTAATTCACAACAAGTTTCTTCAATCAATTCAATTATTTTATTATTCTATGTTCTGAATTTGAGTATTTTACAAAAAAAATGACTTAATTCACAAGTTAATGTTTTTAATTGAAATATTTTGACTCTTATTTCAATAAGTTTGTTAAATCAATAATTATTTTACACGATTTTGGTTCTTAATTTACAACAAGTTTGTTCAATGAATGTTGATGTTCTTAGCTTGATTATTTCACACAATTTTTGATTAGTTCTGAGAAAGCTTTTGGCCCTGAATGAACTATTCCAATTGGCTAACTTAAGTAGAATCGTTGCCAAGACAAAGTAAATCAGGGCATCATTGTTGTTAATACGATTCGTAGTGATTTGCTAACCAGTGTGTAATTTATTGTTGTGCAGTTGATAAAAACGGAGATGTGTGTATATCAATATTGCACGAACCGGGCGATGACAAATTCGGTTACGAGAAAGCGTCAGAGAGATGGTTACCCGTGCACACAGTAGAAACTATTTTAATTTCCGTCATTTCCATGCTGGCGGATCCCAACGACGAGTCACCTGCCAATGTCGATGCCGCTGTAAGTACCACCAAAAAATCCATACCAAAAAAACATCATTTTCTTTTTTCACCGTTTACATAATCTTAATACGCTTTTGTTCTATTTGCAGAAAGAGTGGCGGGAGTCATATTCTGAATTCAAACGAAAGGTAGCGAGATGTGTTCGGAAATCCCAGGAGGAATGTTAGTAGCGTATAAAGAAATATACAAGTAATAATAATATTAATGATAATTGAGACAAAAAAAAATACACAAAAATAAAATTACAACAAAAAAAAGCTATAAACTCTGATACCATCAACTCTCGTAAACAACAAACAACAACAATACTTTTCATTTTATTTCGGAACATATAAACAATAAATCCACACCATATTCATTACGTAAAAACCATTTTCACTATGGACGTGACGGAAGAAAGAAATAATTAACAAAATGAAAAAAACAACAACAACAAATAAACCAATACAGAAGCAGCAGCAGCAACAAAAAAAAATAATAATAATAAATAATAATAAACATATATATTTAAGCAAAAGAATTTATACATATATCGAGGAATATATGGGAATTTGAAGAAAAAAAAAACAACAACACCACACACACAATAATAATAATTGAAATATATAAGGCGTCTTTTTGTATAATGGCAATTTGATTTTATACTTTTCAAAAGAAAAATATATTTCCCACGTTAGTGAGATCTTCTTTTTAGAGATGAGATCAATGCAACAACAACTAATAAAAAAAAATCGAATAATGTTTACTTTCGAAATCCTCCATCCTCGACGCGCGGACAAGAAAAACGTAGTTACGAGATATTCAACGTGTTCCTCTCATTTTCTTGTTTTTGTTTTTTTTTAAATATAAATTATTGTTATTTTGTCCATTTATCGCTATAGTTAAATATTTTTTTTTTATATTCACTTGTTTCTATTTCTTTGTGCTGCCCCCAAATGTCTTTAGTTTGTACGTATTATCATTATTATATATATATATTGTTCAGATTCTTCCCTAATACATTTTTTTTTACACATTTAATAATTTTTGTTTTGTTCTGTATCGCCCTTTTTAAGGGTGTTTTTTTTTGCTTTCATTAAGTTATCGCAGGGCGCAGCAATAAACCAATTGCGTATTTACAACAGAATCATCCGTTTGCGATTAATTTCTTCTTTATTATTTCCTCGTTATTGTATTTTATCATTTTTGTTCCGAACGTAATCGGAGCTTTTAGTGAAGTGTTCCGTTCATTCATTCTCATTAAATCAATTTAGTTTCCAAGAAGAATGATCTGAAGTGAATAGAAAATAAATACGATGATGATGATGATAACGAGATGTTTGTGTTCCGTAATTTTAACTACAATAAGAGATGATCCATTGTTTGTTCTTTTCAAGTGCATTTACCTACAATACAAACGATTATTCATGCTTTTTTTTTTTTTCGCTGAATAACAAGAGATTAACTGTTTTTGTTCATTCATGTGATATAATATTATTTTGTTTTCTCTCCTTTCCTACACTTATTATATATATTTTTTTCTCTCTCTTAATTATTTAGTATAAACTCATTCAGTGATCGTCCATTAATTAACAGAGAAGGAGCGCATCTTCGAAAAGAAAAACTCTTTGGATTCTCACCTCTCCTCTAGCCAGATTATTATTACTATTTTCTGTTATTATTAATTATTACTACTTATAAACTAGTGAGCGATTTCACCTATTATTATTATTTGTCTGATACTCTATATCCATTATATATATAATTTTCTTTAAAAACTTTATTTTTATTTATTTCTTTTTCAAATTCCTTACGTTCTACAAGTTTATAATTTAAATAAATTTTTAATATCGATGATACCATGACTTTATTTCGGTCCACACCCACAAATCCTCTTCTCGTAATCCCAAAGCCAATTCAGACGTTTGTTTCTTCACTTACAAAACCTCAGTTTTCTCCATTGTAAATCTATTTGTGGATGAGAATAGTCACAAGTTTAATTAAAGATTCAACCACAAATATCTCATTTAGATAAGTTTCAATTCTCAATATATAAATTGTTTTAATAAACGAATCATTACAATAAAAACGTCAACTAATTTAGTTGTAAATGTGTTTTTTTTAGAAATAAAAAAACGAGAATTGAAACTGAAAAATTGCAGATTTTTTTTAATGATTTTCTTTTTTTTTATAGAAGTTACTGAAAAGCTGAAGAAACAACTCTACTGTCAAAGGAAGGCGTCGCGCAAAGTTTAACTAAAAAAAATAATAAATTAGTTTAGAAAATTTTGTTTATTCGCTGTTGTTTATTTGTGATTTTCAGTTTTGGTCAGATAATTAAATGAGATGATTTTTATCGAAAATTTTAATTTAATTTTGAAATCAAAATCAATGAAATGTACAAATGTACTCGCTACATTCCCCAAACATTCAGCTTTCATATGCATCCTTTGGATCCATTCTATCTTTTATAGTTTCCGAGAAAATCAATCAAATGTGAAAACACTGCTTTTTTTAACGTTTTCTCAAATTTAAACACTAATTACAGCCAAACCGATGAAACCACAATAATATATGAATACTCGCTACATTCCCCAAACATTCAGCTTTCATATGCATCCTTTGGATCCATTCTATCTTTTATAGTTTCCGAGAAAATCAATCAAATGTGAAAACACTGCTTTTTTGAACGTTTTCTCAAATTTAAACACTAATTTTTTTAATGATGTTTAAAAACTAATTTTTCAAACTTATTTAAGACTTTAACAGCCAAACGATGAAACCACAATAATATATGAATACTCGTTACATTCCCCAATCATTCAGCTTTCATATGCATCTTTTGGATCCATTCTATCTATTATAGTTTTCGAGAAAATAATAAATGTGAAAACACTGCTTTTTTGAGAA